AGGCTGGGCTGGGGGACCCCCCTCCCCCCGCCCCCCGAGTGCACAAATTTTTGTGCACTGGGCCTCTAGTAATAGTATAAATGAAAGCTTAAATATAGGATGGATGAAAATTTTAAAATGATTATAGTGTCGAAGTCTAGACAAAAATAAAAGATAATTCCTTACATTTCCCATTATAAGTTCTAAATTCCATATCATTTCCATATTATATAAATCCCTTTAACATTTAAAGCTGTACCTTAGAGATAGATGATATGCCCCTAACCCATGTGTTCTTGTTTATGGATACAGACGAGCACACCATTTCCACTGACGTTAAAAGCAATAGGTCATTGGATCAGATCAGTCTTTCATTGGATTATTTATGTCTTTTGATTTCTTAATTAGTTTGTGCTCAGTCTGAATATATTAATGATTAATTTTTAAGTATTTATTGAAAAATTCATATGAAAGTTTATTTTGTTGAAGACTGTTGTTCATTTGTCAAGGTTATCAATTCAGATAGGTTATCAAGGTTGCAACTTAAAGAAAACCCAATGCAAGGTGACTTCTATGAAGGGTATTTGTTGGGTTGTGTAATTGGAAGGCCAGTCATAGGCCACGCCTGAGGGTTGACTGAGTTAGCAAACCCACAGTGCTGCCACCGTTTAGGTTGTCTTCTTTCTACTCTGCTTCTCACCTTCCTCTCCTGACAGCAGGATGGCTGCCAGCCAGTCCCAGACTTAACTGATTTCTCACTCATGTCCAGCAGTCTTTCAGAAGCTCACCCAGAAAACCTTTCCTTAGTTGAGGGGTGTGCCCATGCCTTGAACCACCAACTATGGCTGGGATGGGATTGTTTTGAGTCACTTCCCCTCAAGTAGGGGCCTGTGGGAGGAGGTACAGAAACCCCAGTCAGAACTGGGTGGTTATCTAGAGGAGGAGGAAGTGGATGGAGGGCGACAGCTTCCTGTTTGCCGCGCCATGCAGGTTGAAGTGGCTTGGGCTTCATTTATAAAGTGCTTGCTTTGTTTCATTGATTTCTACTTTTGTCTCTAGGGTCTGTGACAGCAACCAAACGGACAGGCATTCCAGCTCCTCGAGAACTTTCGGCAACTATCTCAAGAGAGAGAACTGTGCCACGTGGTCCCACCAACCCAAAGAAATCAGTGTCTAGTCCAACTTCTTCCAGCACACCCACCCCTACCAAGCACCAGAGGACCACTTCCACAAGACCCAGGCCAGAGAATGAAGGGGGAGAAAAGGCTGTGCTCGAGTCCCAAGTTCGGGAGCTTTTGGCAGAGGCCAAAGCAAAAGATAGTGAAATTAACAGGCTTCGAAGTGAACTAAAGAAATGCAGGGAGAAAAGGACTCTGAACACTGCAGGAACCGACACTTTGGACCCAAAGATGGATGGAACATCAGTCTCAGCAGGTGACTCTGAACCGTTGATACAAGCTCTTGAGGAGAAGAACAAGAATTTCCAGAAAGAGCTTGCCGATCTAGAGGAAGAAAACCGGGCCTTGAAGGAGAAACTGAGTTATTTTGAGCATTCACCAAATTCAGAAGGGGGGTCCAGTCACACTGCTGATAGCAGCTGTCCAACATCCCTCACCCAAGAGTCAAGCTTCGGAAGCCCGACTGGGAATCAGGTGTCAGGTGAAGTAGATGAATATAAAAAACACACACCCCAAAACGTATTACGGACGTCGGGCTCTTCAAGTAGCGATGTTACCAAAGCTTCTTTGTCACCGGATGCCTCCGATTTTGAGCACATCACAGCAGACACCCCCTCTCGGCCCCTGTCTTCCACGAGCAACCCCTTTAGGAGTTCGAAGTGTTCTACCACTGGGAGTTCCCCTAACAATGCGAGTGAACTGTCCCTGGCCTCCCTTACGGAGAAGATACAAAAGATGGAAGAAAACCATCATAGCACAGCAGAAGAACTGCAGGCTACTTTACAGGAATTATCAGACCAGCAACAAATGGTGCAGGAATTGACAGCCGAAAATGAGAAGCTGGTGGATGAGAAGACGATTTTGGAAACTTCCTTTCATCAGCATCGAGAGAGGGCAGAGCAGCTCAGTCATGAGAATGAGAAGCTGATAAATCTCTTACAAGAGCGAGTGAAGAAGGAGGAGCCCAGCACGCAAGAAGGAAAGGTCCTGGAGCTGGAGCAGAAGTGCACAGAAATCCTGGAGCAGGGCCGCTGCGAAAGGGAGAAACTGCTCAGCATTCAGCAGCAGCTGACCTGCAGCCTGCGGAAGGCTGAGGAGGAAAATCAAGGGGCTTTAGAGATGATCCAACACCTGAAGGAAGAGAACGAAAAACTGAACGGGTTTCTAGAACTGGAACGGCAGAACAGTAGTGTGATGGCCCAAACTCTGGAAGAGTGTACAGTTACCTTGGAAGGGCTGAAGATTGAAAATGGGTCTTTGAAGGCTTATTTGGAGAATGAGAAGCAAAAAGCTATAGAGACCAGTTCTATGGGGCAGACGGCAGAGGGCTGTGAAATTCAAGAAATGTTGAAAGTAGCTCGAGCTGAGAAAGATCAGCTGGAACTGTCTTGCACTGAGCTCAAACAAGAATTACTAAAGGCACATGGTGAAATTAAACATGTTTCAAGTCTACTAGCCAAGGTAAGGAGATTCCTCTTTATCAGTGTTTGCTCATCCTTTTAACATTTCCCTCCTTGATCTTTAAATTCAAAGAGCACAGAGAATCTTTTGCTTAGTCATGTTCATTCTGTTAGATTCCAGACAGGTTGGAGATACAAAAATGAAACACCCCCAGTTTCTGACTATAGGCAGTTCCAAATGTGGCGGGGATGTAGTGAATCAAATCCATCAGTGTGGTGCAGGGGTAAAGGACAGCCCAGAGCTGTGTGCCAAGGAGGAACACCCAGAATATGTGGGGTAAAGGAGGGTAGTGCAGGAGGACTTTTTGAAAGAAGTGACAGTAAGCTGAGTCTTGAAGAATGAGTGAGAGTGTCTGGCCAGTGTGGCTCAGTGGTTGAGCATCGACCCATGAACCAAGAGGTCACTGGTTCGGTTCCCGGTCAGGGCACATGCCTGTGTTGCGTTGCAGGCACAGTCCCCAGTAAGGGGTGTGCAGAAGGCAGCTGATCAGTGATTCTCTCTTCTCATCGATGTTTCCATGTCTCTATCCCACGCCTTTCCTCTCTCTCTAAAAATCAATAAAAACAACAAAGAAGAGTGAGTGAGAGTTATCCAGGTCTGTCAGCATGCCTGGGATGCTTGTAACAGAAAATTAAAGTCACCCCAAATTTCCCCACCAAGTAATAATATAACCAGTATTTTGGTATTTTCTTGATATATGTTATGTGTTTTTCCCATAAGTTAAAAATTTTTTTTGAAGAATCACCTTGTACACATTGTTAACTTTTAAAAATGTAACATTTTCTGAGCATATTGTCATTATCATTCTTTGATACATTATTTTAAAGACCAGATAGTATTCTATGCTGTAAATATTTTGTATGTACTTTACTAGTGGCCTGTTGTTGAATGTTTGTGTTCTTTTCCAGTCTTTTGATACTGTAAATACATATTTTATATCTCTCATTATTTCCTTAGGAAAAATTCCTGGACAGTGACTTCCTGTTTCAGAGAATGACCCTTTTAAAACCTTTTAATACATTTAGCCAGATCGCCCTGCAGACACATGACCCCAGCCTGTCCCCCTGCAGATCAGGAGAGTGCTTGTTCCCCAACAGTTGACATCAAGTTGGTGTCACATAGAGTTTCTTTTATGTGTATCAAGACCCTAGGTGTGTGCTTTTGTGCTGTCCTGTGTGTACAGGGACACTGATCTGCAGTTGCAGTGAAGCTGTAACTGGTACTAGTCTTTCAGCCCTTTTCTGTTATCATCGGAAAGTAAAACCCAGTCCTCCTAGGCACATTGACAGCTTATTTAATCCACCAGCAGCCACAGATTCTAATGATGAGGCAGAAGGGAATAGGGACACTTGTGGCACAAAACTGTAATGAAGGGTAGAAAGTGCTGACGGGGAGGAGGAAAGCCTGTGTCCTCGCGACTTGGCTAACGGTTAATTTTGTGGCCTGGGCAGGCCCCTTTCCATTGTACAGTGTTGATGGGAAGGGTGATAGTGGAAGGATTCTGGCCTTGTTCCTTATTTAAAGGGAGCACTTTCAACATTTTGTCATTAAGGATATCTGTTGGGGCATTTGCTGTATACCTTTTATTGAGTTATGCAAGTGTTTGGCTAAGAAAGTTTTGTGTTTTTTTTAAAAGGATGGATATTGAATTTTTCTACATCTACTGTAGATCTTATGCATTTGTAAGATCTATGCTGTAGATCTTGGACATCTACTATGATCTTATAGTTTTTATGTAATCAAAATGTTTTTTCTTCTTTAATTTGTTAAGGAGGTGTGAATAATAATAACAGATTTTCTTTTTTTTTAATCCTCACCTGAGGATATGTTTTCAAATTGATTTTTAGAGCGAGAGAAAGGGAGAGGCAAGACAGAAAAAGAGCGAAAGAGAGAGGTGAGAGAGAAACATCAATCAGTTGCCTCCCATTCGTGCCCCAAATGGGGATTGAACCCACAATCTAGGTATGTGCTCTGAGCAGGAATTGAACCTTCCACCTTTTGGTGTAGGGTACGATGCTCCAACCAACTGACCCACACGGCCAGGGCTACAATAACAGATTTTCTAATGTAGTCTAGTGTTAAATCATCTTTGCACAGCTGGGTTCAGTTCTGATTCTTCAGTTCTCAATGGCTTCACTTGATTTTTTGCATAGAACTTTCAGCTATAACTCAAAGTGACTGTCCTATTCGTCAGCATTAGACTGCTTGGTGATGAGCAGCTGTTACCTGGAGCTCTGCGTTTATCCACTGTAATTCTCAAGAAGGTGAATACTCTGAGAAAGGAGCAAAGTAACCTATTTACAAAGAGGAAGAAAGGCAATGCCAAGCCGTCCCATAATCTAATAGATTTAGTAAATCTGTATATGTTTCCAGTTTAGTGACTCAGCTATTGTTCGGAGAGCCTCTGAAAAGCCTTAAAATGTACTTTTTTCCTCCCAGTACGGTTGGGTCTGAAATTTGTATGAATCCTTATACAAAATTCATAAAATATTTAAAATAATTGTGTGAATGTTTTGTAGGCTTTCTCTTGCTCTCATTGCTAATATCGCCATTCTTTTCAGCTTTTCTGATACCCACATGTACAACATGCCTTTGTACACCTTTGAGGAGGGGCCAATTCCACAGAATGCTGAGGTCTGAACCTCCCAGCCAGCCAGCAGCATTAAGGGGTCTGGGGTTATTGTTTCTCCAGACTCTAATGCAATTAGGGTTACATTTTTTAGCTTTCAAGTTTTCAGTCCTTTATGGTCTTGATTTCAAGTTAGAGAATTTTTACAAGACTTGAAACCTAGAAGTTTTAAAAGAAAATACTGATTTTCACCCCTCTGCCCTGAGATTGAAAGCTTATCGGTGGTATAGCCTTAGAAATTTAGTTCTTTCTACAGAAACTCAGTGTCTCTTCCAGAGGAGTAAGGATATTACACACTTGCTGTGAGCGGTCAGGGAAAACTAGAGGTGAAATGATCATTAACTAATTGCAAGAGCTACTAGATCCATACTATAAGTTATAACAGTTTAGGTTTACTACATGCATCCTTTATTGTGTCTGAATCTCAGCATAAAATGCTTAAAGAACTATGAGGATTTCCCAGTTAGGTAGTTGCTTCGTGAAAGAAATAGTTTTTCCTTATACTTGGGGATGTGGTTTAATGGTAATTTTACAGATGAAAAGATGGTAAGAATTTGGAAAAGGAAGTCATTAGGTGAATGAATGGATATCCTATATAATAAAAGGTTAATATGCAAATTGTCCCCTCCACCAGGAGTTCGACTAGGAGTTAGACCGGGGGCAGGGCCGGCCAGCCAACCCCCTATGGCTCCTCCCCGCTGGCTGGCCCCACTCATGATTGGCCCTGATCGGGGGCAGGGCCAGCTGGCCAACCTTCAGCATCCCCTTCCCCCAGCTGGCCCCAGCCCGATCGAACCCCACCTGTGCACAAATTCGTGCACGGGGCCTCTAGTAGGAAAAGAAAATACATATTGCATATTTTATAAATACTATCTCTCTTTTAATAATGGGAGAATTTTAATTTATGTGTCAGTAGGTAAAATGTTCCACATTTCTATTCTCATTGGGCCAAACTAGAGTAGCCACTGACAAATTCTAGAGTAGAATTTGAGAGAAAGGTGTGGCAAGTAGATGATTCTGTAGGCATGATTGCAGAACAGGACTTCTTGAAGGGCTGAGACCTGAGAACCTGGCTTAAATACAGGTGATCTATGAGGAGGATGCCAGGTGATGCTTTGGACTGTGAGACACAAGAACCTCCTAGTGTCAGTTGCCTAAGCAAACCGGCGTTCACTTTGCTCCCATAATCAGAAGTCCAGGAGGTAGGCAGTTGGTAGCTGTGGTCAGGGGCTGCCTGATGTCAGGACTCTGGGCTGGCAGCTCTGCGATTCTCTCCGCCTTCCTGCCAAGGGAGCAGGGAGCACAGCATCTTCAGCATCTCGTCCTCACAGTCCTGGCGGACAGGAGGCGTGGCAGGAGCCCCCGCAGCAACTCCCTTTATATGTGGTCAGAACTGGGTCACACACCTTCCCCCATCCACCCTCCTTGAAATCATAAGATCACGTCCTGACTCTTGAACAAAATTGGGATTCTCTGTAAGAAAAAAGGGAGAATGGCTTTTGGTAGGGAAGAGCGCCATTTGCCTCAGCCTCCGACAGAACTCCCTCCACATGTTCATTCTTCCCCACCCCTGTTCATTCTCCACAAAGTGCTCACAGAGATCTCCTATGTGTGTAACGCCTGCAGCAGTTCCCCTTTGCACCAAACACTCCACCCAATGCGCGAAGCCCTGTGTTGCCTTCTGCTTACACCTCCAGCCTTGGTCCCACCATCATCCTCCCCGCCTGGGCCCAGCCACGCCGAGTTCTTGTCCTAACTCGCATCAGATGAAGGAAGTGGGGGCTCTCTCTGCCAAAAGTGTTCTTGCTTCTCTCTTTGCTTCCCTGACCCCCTCCCCATTCTTCACTTGCCTGGTCCTGTCTTAAGCTTTAGGTCTCAACTATAGTGTCACTGCTTTAGAGAGGCCTTCAGCTCTGTGGGGTCATTGTCTCATGGCCTGAACAGCCAACATGTCTGCATCAGCTCGGATCACTTGTGTGAAGCCCCCTGCCCATCCCCATCCCCTCAGAGGAGTTCAGAGTGTTGGTGGATCTCTTTGGTAGAGTTGAGGGGAACTTAGGGATCACTTCCCTATGAATCATGGACTGGATACTATTGGAAAAGTTGGTTAAGATTGAGTTGTTTAAGCTGAAAACCTGAACATTTCAGTTATCTTCAGTTGAGACACTTCCCCCCATTCTCTCCAGTATATTTGGCTGACAATCATATGTCAGCTCCTGGTGAAACAGCCTATGACTTCATGCTGGGAAGAAAGCATGTAAGAAACGTATAAACAGAGCCTGTTTTCCTGTTCTCCCACGCAAGTCAAGAGAAGGCATGTTGAGGCAGCTTAGGGAAGGCCTGCAGGCTCCTCACCTGGAAGCCTTCGAGG